ACCCCTTGCCAAGCGAAGCTCAATGGCGGCAACCCCTTCAGCACCAATACCCCCTTCGTCCGTCCCCCCCGTCCCCCCTTACCGCGCCCCCGTACAAGCGATATTGCCGAGCGAAGCTCAACGGCGGCACACGTGAGCCTTCAACCCTCAAAAAAAGGGGGACCGACCCATCGGCCCGTGACGGGTCCACTAAAAGTCTTCCCACCACCGTCCACACACATCGAGGATGATAACAAAGTTACACAAAAAGGATAATCGTCATAATAATAATAAAAATAAAAAAAGGAGGTAAAAATGTTCATAACAAAAACACAAAATTCTCTGCCACAGGAAACCGAAAACAAAACAAAAAAAGCAGAAATACAATAAATGTTTCTCTTTTTAAAAAAATACAAATCGTAATTCTTTCTCCTTTTTAAGTACCTTAATTTTTTTGTTTTAAATAACAAAACAAATAAGAAGGAACACGCGATATTGCACGGCTAAAAATTTTTTTTTTTTTGTTTTGTTTTCCATTCGTCAAAAGAATGTTACGTGTCAAAACAGTTTTGTCGCATGCAAAGGTGCACAGTATTCCACACATATATATCTAGATATATGTATATATTTTTTTGCAAGGTTAAATCATGTAAACAGTATATGAAGCGGAGAGAGAGAGAGAGAGAGAGCGCCGGGAACGCAAAACGCTCCGCCGGAGGAATTCAGATACAATGTTAAAACATTCCAAAAAAAAAAGTAACGCTTGAACTTTCCCCAAGTTTACTTGTTACCGGTTTCTAAGGCTCTTTCGTCGGCCAACCCGTTACAAAGGAGTCGGAGACAAGTACACCTGTAGCCGGAGGTGAGCGGATACGATCCGCCGCGAGAGCGCCATTCACAAAGTCATTCTTTTTTTTTATAAAAACGTTACCGGGGCTGGATTTCCCACAAGGCCAACCAAGGCCCGGCCTCGGGGGCAGCAGGGAGTAGAGGGGCAGCAGCGGTGTGGGATTCCTATCTCCCAACGCCTGTGATATGTAGTTATGGGCGCCGGGCGGGTAGTTGTTTTCTAAATGTAGCCCCGGCTTTGGGCAAGCAGGGCTAAATGTACAGCGGGGGAAGCCGCCGATGTCACCGAATCACTTGTATGCAGCCTGCAGGTCTGCCATTCTCCATGGGGGGGGGGGACATTGAGGAACCTGGCCTTGGGGCAGCAGGGAGTAGAGGGGCAGCAGGGGTGTGGAATTCCTATCTCCCGATGCCCGGTTTTGGGTGCCGGGCGGGTAGTTGTTTTCTACATTTAGCCCGGCTTTGGGCAAGCACAGCGGGGAAGCCGGACGCTTGTTTTGTACAAATGATCTCAGCAATGTTGCAGAGATCACTTGCATGTAGCCTGCAGGTCTGCCATTCCCCATGGAGGGGAAGGGGGGTGTTCGGCGGGTAAGGGGGCGCATTGAGGAACCTGGCCTCGGGGCAGCAGAGAGAGTAAATCCGGCCCTGAACGTTACCGTCTCACCTAACGTAAAGCGAACGCAGCCGACCGGCGCACGCCGCGGTCGCTCAGCTCCGGCTTGAAGCAGCAGTCCAAGAATTTCTCGCTCTTTAAGATAACGGTCGTGCTGTATAGTACGGAGATGGCCCCCGAAAGTAGGCGACGGGCGTGCCGATCGGATATTAAAAACGACTCGTTGCGTCTTAATAATATTCGAGATCTGACGCGACTGGCGAGCCGGGAGACCAATTTGGCGTTTTTAC